AAACCTCTCCCAATAGCTCCCCACACTGGTCGTATAGTCTTATGTTTACTGACCTTATGTCCTATTCCAGTGACACAGTGTCAAGTAGTTGACAAACTCTTATTTACGTATTCAGCCAACGTTTATTGAGCAGCTGCCATTTGCTAGGCACTATTCTAGGGAAAGGGAATTCTATTCTAAGGGAACGCTATTCTAAGCCCTGGGAATACAGCAATGAACAAAATCAAAGTATGTTCTTCCATGAAGCTTATGTTCTAGTGGGGGTGATGATTCAGTCATTAAATGTAAAAATATCTAGTAGCTCTAAGTTCTGGAGTGAAAAAAAAAGCATAAGAAAGTGATGGGGAGGGGTCTATTTTTGGCTGTGGTTATAGAAGAGTTTTCTGAGGGATAATTGAGCAGAAACCTAGTTGAAATGAGGGAGAAAGCCCTGTGAAGAGCCTGAGAGAGAGTGCCCAGCAAGGGGGAACAGAAGTGCCGAGTTCCTGAGGAAGAATTAACATCCCATGCTTTAAGAACAGGAAGGGAAGACAGTATAGCTACGGAGGAATGGGCAAGGTGGAGGCATGCAGGTCCTGGAGGCCACTGCCAATCCTGAAAGGCCTTGAAGACCCTGTTCAGGGTCAGGATTTCATTTTAAATGAGAGCAGGCTACTGGAGGGTTTTGAGAACTCTAACGATGCATCTCTTTGAACAAAATCACTCTGAATAATGAACCATTCCATAAGAAGCAGGGAGATGAGTTAGGAGGGTACTAGAATAATCCAAGTAAGAGATGTGGTATCGATATGGGAATGAAAAATAGTTGGGTTCTAAATATTTTGAAGGAGGAGCCAATAGGACATGCTGTTGGATTAGTTTGAGGTGGAGAAGAATCAACATTGACTTCTGGGCTTAGGCGACTGAAGCCTTTTTCTTTAGTCTGAAGGCCTCTGTCCCCGACACAGTTCCACACCTATGGAAGGGATGGGGATAACCTGGAGGGGATCAGAGGATCTCTCCCTTCCTCTAAACTCTGACTTGGCCATCATAGGCTGTCTTGTGTGTTTCTTTCCTTATAAATGTCATTATTTTGCTCATGTCTGAATTGTGTTCTCAAGGGCCATATCGTACGTAAGCTTTTCTGAATCCCCCACCTTATCCACTCCCAATAGAATAAAAACTGTTGTGAGGAAATATAGAAAAACATGTTATGGATTAAATCTTGGCTAAAACCTTTGAAGTGGAAAGGGCAGTCTTAAAGATAAGGAAACTGAGGTTCAGGGACTTGCCTGATAATAGCTACCCCTTAAGAGAGCTTCCTTCCCCCTAGGGAGCTTTCATTGGTCCAGTGTGTGTTTTCTGTCAACACCATCAAGCACACCCTGTCCAGATGCACCGCTCTCACGGCGCCTCCACGTGTTCACAAGCCTCCAGCTTTAGAACCCTGTCCTTTTGTTTTTTTTATGGAGGCTTCATTACATAGACATGACTGATTAAATCATTGGCCATTGGCGATTGAACTTAATCTCCAGTTCCTTTTTCCTCTTTGGAGGTTGGGGAGTGGGACTGAAAGTTCCAATCCTCCAACAACTTGGTTCCCCAGGCAACTAGCCCTCATCCTTAGGTGACCTAGGGACTTTCCAAAATTCACCTCATCAACACAACAAAAGATACTTTATCATTCTCATCACTTAGGAAATTCCAAGGGTTTTAGTAGCCCTGTGCCAGAAACAGGGAAGAAGACCAAATATGTAAATATGTGTTTCTTATTATAAACCATACTATCATAGGTGACAAATGGCTGAGCTAAGTGTAGCATCTATAGCTTCTCAATTTTGTCTTCCTGCTGGGCATCGCTGCCTCCCTGCAGTCTGTCTATTCTCAGTAGGTACCAGAGCTGCCTTTTCAATGTCTTCTATGAAGATGAACTTTCCTCTGTGAGTGACTTCAGGTCCTCTGCACCCCACTCCACCCTCCCCTTTGAGGGACACAGCCCCAAATGCCAGCTGAAGGGAACAACATCTCCTACGAGTTGAATGTGATGTCTTTTTGCTCTTATTTTTTAAAACAGCTTTCCTCACACCTTCTCCTCAACAGCTTGAATGCATTTGTTTCCTGGGCCAAGTACAGGAAAGGTGTGCAAAAGGAAAAAATGTGAGCTTTGCTATTCAGAGCACTCACTTAAACAGATTTTCTTCCTAATGCTTCTACTTGTTTTTCTCCTACAGGAATCAGACCCTCTTGGACAGAAATCTATATCCCCGTGAAACGCTGTCATGTCATCCTGAAAGACAAGGTGGGCGAATTCTCCCTCCCAGTGATGCCAGGTCAGTTTCCTCAGAACATCTGGTACCACTGGACCATCTTGGCTGGCCCCCAAAGTCACACTGTTGTCTGTGTCCATGGGGTTAGGGTCACAGGAAACGATAACTGTGGGGCATATTCTGACAAGATTGTGTTTCAAGGGGTGTTGTCCATAGTAGAAAGCAGCTTGGTCTATGCCTGTTGGAAGAAGGGGGTGCACGGTTATGCTACCCAAGCCCTGGTTCTGCATGTGGTCTTGCTATTTAAGAACTACACTCGAGGTGGGAGGTAGAGGCTTTTCAGGGGAAGTATCTTCCCAGAGCAGGTTCAGGGGAAAAGATCATAGAGCTTCAGGCTACAAAGTCTTCCGTCCCATTTCAAAGAATTTCCTCTGAACCCACTGTTAGCACTGCTGGGCCAAAGACCCAAACAGAGTAGGAACTTGGGGTCTCTGGAATTTCTGTGCCCCATCTGGGTCAGACAAGCTCTCCCTCATGTTACCCACCAAGCCCACAGTAGATGTTATCCTGCCCACCAAATCTCTAGAAATAAGGAAGAAGGACCTTTGGCAAATGGCCTCTTCCCCTGGCCCAGCAGAAACAGCAGACTTTGATACCAGGTGGGCAGGGACTCCAGAAGAAAATATCCTTGCCTGGCCCTTAGCCAGCTGAGCAGCTCCTTCCAGCACTGATTCCTGTACGCTTCGTGGTGGCCCCTGACGGGGCATTTGGTTCTCATCTGTAGAATGGGGAAGGCCTGCGAGTGCTTCAGAGGATGGGCCAGCCACAAGGCCAGTTCCTGAGGACTTGCTGCAATCAGTTAACCACTCGGGCTTGGATTATGGGGAAGGACTACATACACCCTGGGAAGAGGAGCCACTTTCTCTCAAACCTTCTCAGGTGAGGGAGAGCATTCCTGCATGGGGCAAGTGACTGCCTGTGCAAACAATATTCTTGCCTGGTGAAACACTATGCTTTCTATGGGACAAGTCTGACTCCCAACTGTCCCTAGAGGGTAGGCTGTATCCTATCTCTGTTATCACACAGCTTTCTCATATCTCTAGGTCCTCTCTTCCCGTGTCTTAAGCTGAGAGCTCTCTGACTGAGTTGCTTTGGAGAATTCTTGCTGCTCCTGTAGACACCCAAACTTCTACCATCAGGGGGCTTTTATGGCTAAGCACTGCTCATCTTCAGTGAAGCAGGAGTCACCTTGGTAGCTGCATCTCCAGGTGGTGAAGTGTTGACACCACTACTGTCTCCCATGGATTTCAAGTGGTTCCCTCTGAGGCAGTCATATCTTATCCCTTAGATTGCCTTGTCCTCACCCCTTCCAGAACCAGGAGAGATAGACAGCCTGCCCTAGAGTGTGACTTCTGAGGGTGTCTCCTTGTGGTATCATGGCAATCTTACAGAAAGAGACCCAACACACACTTTCTAGAGTCCAGAGGGGCTGGCCGCAGAACCACTGGAGAATCTGCCTGGAGTGACCCTGACAATGGTTCCCCGCCAAGTTCCTTCAGCCACAACTTCCCCTGAGTATGTTCCCAAACCCACATTGGTATTCCCACCCTCAGCCCACCACAGAGGTCCTGGGACCCCAGAAGGGACCATGGGGATGTCTACACCAGTTTTGTGGCTGATGTCAGTTTTACAGTTGCCTTCAGATGTCCTTCCTGAGACTGGAGGGGATGTGTAATCCTCCCTTGGCTCCCAAAGTCCAGCCATGCCCCATGGCTTGTCCCATCAAGGAAAGAGCAGAGTGGCTGCTGGCCTCTTTGCTGAGCTCCCGGGGAGTTGCGATCCAAGTTTTCTGCAGATTAATATTGAATGCTTTCTGCAGAGCTCACTGGCTTTTCTGCCTGCCTCTCCAAATCTGGCTGGAGCCGAGCTAGCACCTACCAGTTTAATGAGTACTTCCTGGCCGAGCCCAAGGAAGCAATTCCTAGTGGGGCAGTGGCTGTTCCTCACTACTTAAGGTAGAGAGGGAACTTGCTTTCAACCACCCCCTATGGCAGAGAAAGCACAGAAGTAACAAGCCTGCTTGAAGGAAGAAGACCGGACAGTACTCTGCATCCGCTTGCTTCTGAGTTAGTTCCTGTATCATGGCTTTCACACTCTCGGTTCCTGCCCTGGAAGTGAAGCTCCCTCAGAGCCAAAGGCACATGTTACTGTGGTTGCTTCGTTGGTACCTGAGCTGCAAACCATTTGGGCAATGACCTCCCCTGGGGAGACCATTGAAGAACATGCTGATATGGCCAGTCAGCCCTCTAAAGGGCTCACTTTACAGGAGGCTAAGCCCTGGCAATCCACCCATCCTCTGGGACAGGCGTTGAGAGACCTCAACTGGGATGTCTCTCGCAATGTCCCTTCCTAGTTTTTTGGGGACCTTCTCTGGGAAATGAACTCAGGTTGTAGGGGCTCCTACTGTTAGGTCCCCTCTGTGCCCCTGGGGAGAGGGTTCATCCTCCCTGGAGACTGAGACACCCTAGAACTACTCTGGTAAATATATATATATATATATATAT